CAGCCCTGTGTGGATATACAGTACTTGTACCCATTATACATAGGAGGACACCAAAGCACAGAGATACTCATTAATTTGGCTAAAGTGAAACTCTAAGAGGAAGAGTCCTAGAGGAACAAAAAACAGGTGAAAGTAAGGCTTTTAAATTATTAGCAAGTCAGTAGCTGAGATGGAGGCGGAGGGAGAGCCCATGCTCTGACTTGATTCCAGCAGTTGATGCCTCACCAAAGTGAAGAAAAAGCACAGGGAACAGACTTGACGGGCAGATGAAATCATGGGAGGTCACGTCAGTGTGCTATGACTATAGCTGGGTCCTCTGCTGCAAGTGTTGGAGGAGTCTGGAGACCAAGACAGCAGAGCAAACCAAAACAAGGTTGGACCTAACTTGATTTCTCTGGCTTTGTTTTTTTTTTTCCCCCCAATAACTCAAAGTTCAGATCAGCTGTTTTTGGTTTTATTTTTTTCTCAGTATTTTGGATTCACACTCGGCGGCGACCTTTCATGTGCCTCCTCCGTGAAGCTGCTTCTAGAAAACATCTTTACCAGACGCCTTCGCTTCCTTGCTTTACACTTTTTTCTCAACTCCATTCAGTCCTGCCTCTGCTCCCCTTCTATCATTTAGGTGTCACTGGCAAAAGCCAACAAATCAGCCCCCTCAAATCCCCAACCTTGTGGTTACTCCTCCGCCCTGAGTCATCCAACATTGCTGGCCAAACTTTTTTTTTTAATTCCTAAACTCTTTTACTTTGTTTCTTTATATTAACCTTCGCTTCAAGGGATATCTACTGGGACCTTTATACTTTTTAAAAATATCTCATGATAGGAAGATCCCAAAGTATACCAGGTCCTGTGTATTGAGCCCTATGTTACAGCTGCGAACAGCACGAATGCAGTCTCTGTTACGGAAACGACAGGCCAGCCAAGAAACAAGCACCACTCGGAGGGTTGGAGTACCCAGATTTATTACGCCGGCGGGCTCAGAGGGGCTTCCGCTCTGAAGCTCTGAGCACCTCCAAGACAAGTGCATGAGGTTTTATAGGGTTAATTACAAGCTTGGGGTATTCGGCCAATAGGCATGGAACAGCTTTAGCAGCATCATTATCACAAAAGTAGAGGCAGGGAGGAAGCAAACCAACATTTCAAGGCCAGATATGTCTCTCTCTGAAAATCCAGCTGGCTAGCAAAAAAAAAAAAAAAAACATGAGCAGGGAATCAGCAAACTGACACTTATTAACTTAAGATTTATAAGTTAGCCCAGCCGGCCTTTCCTTCACATTTCTACTCTCGGAAAATCAACATTCAGGTGAAATTTTAAAAGTACTTAACTACCAATTATCACCTGCAAGGAAAAGTCAGAACTTTCTAGAATGCTTAACAGGGAGTGACCCTGACACTGCTTCTATCTCAGCCTCACCTTTGAGACTCCGTGGCCTCCTGCAAACTCTTAGCTCCAACCAGGCTAGACCACGTCCAGGTACTGAGATACCCTCTACCCTCCTGGTCTATACATCTGCTACAAAGAAGAGTGCCGGGTGACTTTAGAAGAAAGTAATCACAAGCAAGTTGATCGACATGGCAACCTGACTAAAGCGATCATCTTGTGACCCTAGGGGGCCTTCCTGGGGCAGGCCCTTCCCCCATATCTTCTGCTGTAGCTCCTCTCTGAAGCACCTAATAGTATCTTACGAACATTTCCTGAGTTGTTTCACAGATGTGAAAACCCCCACCACCACCAAATGGAAGATGTTAACTACTTGATGACCATGAGCAGGTAGCCCCCAGGCCTCCTGGAGCCTAAGGACTGATAATGTTAACCCCTGTGACACCACCCTGTGACTTCACCACCAGAGAACTGTGCACCAGCTGGTCACAGACCCTGCGACCTCCCCTCCCTCACCTGGCCTTGAAAAATGCCTTGCTGAAACCCTTCCAGGAATTTGGGGCTTTAGAGCAGGAGCCACCCGCCCTCCTAGTATTGGTGCCTTCACAATAAACGTTGCATTTTCCTTCACCACAACTCCATGTCAGTTGATTGGCTTTACCCTTCTTTCAATTTCACATTGTTCCCTCTTGCAACAACAAATTGCTCCTAATTCCCTGGACACAGAATGCTATTCAAATTTCCATACATTTGTTTATACTGCTCCCCTCCGCACACACCCCGCCCCCCGCCACGATCCTGGGAAAGTGTAGGAGGGTTGCTGTATCAGCATAGCTCATCCCACTCCACAGCCATCTGAGCAGAGCTTGCCTGGGGGACTATTACCTCTGTACCACATGATACTGCATTATTTGTGTATTTGTATTGGGGGGAGGGGAGAGTTTAAAACATTTTTTTCCAAATAGACAACCAATCATCCTAAAATAATAAATGGTTCTTTCACTCCTCCTTACTTTGAAATGTCACATAAGGCGAGCAGAATTTGTCACCCTAAAATACGCCACCTTGGAATGAGGACTATTTTGTGCTAAAGGCAACAGAAACTCAGAAGATTCAGAAAAAGCTCTTTTCCTCCCCCTCAACTGCCTGAATCCACATTGGCACGGGGACCTGTACCAGAAGAGAGCTATTACTGGAGATACCTTTTTACCTAAGAAACCTATTTGTATAACAGGGCAATCTTTGTTTTCCAAACATCCCCTCTGCCTTCCACTGAATGGCTTTCCTCCCCTTTGTATTCCCAAACCCCCATCCCTTTCCTCAGCTCCAGATGTTATGTAAGCTTCAATTACCTGGCTGCCCTTTGAGTCCTCATATCTTTATGGGGCTTCTATATATTTGTAATTTTCTTTGCTTTCTCATCCTGTTAATCTTGTTACCAATCCCCAAGGGGGTCTGCGACACTTCATTGGGTCCCTTCTTTGCCCAGAGTCGCAAATGCCAATCAAACCAGGTTTGGATTAGCAGAGCAAAAACATTCCTTGATGGAAGAATGGAGAAGGGAGGGCTCATGCTCTAAAAACACCTTCTCCCTGAAGGGAGGGGAGTAAGGGAATTTTCAGGAGTAGGAGGCAACATGTCAGCAAGGCTCTATGAAAGGGGCAGAGATTTCTAGTGGCAGCCCAGCGTGGCTGGAGCATGCACAGTCTTCCACGCTTCTTTGCACATGGCATGAACTGTGCCTGGCAGAGTACAAATCCCCCCTTAAGGCAGAGATCCCAGCATGATAATGAAGCAAATGTAACTTTCAGGCACTCTGAGTCTCATCTGTGCAGGCACGATCTTGTGATCAAGTCAGAGCTAGTTCAGAATAGTTGACCACTGCATAATCTCTCAAAGCACAGCTGTAAACATCTCTATCAAATACCAGGTGCTTTACAAACAAACACAGAGATAAATCAAGGCAAGGACCCTTTAGCTCTCAGGAGCTGGTGTGAGTGACAATCTGTTTTACATCAATTTAATTATTAGACCAGACAAAGAACCTAGTAGGAAAGAGAACAGAATATTTTTCTGCCTGCAGATGATCTTTATCATAAAATAAATGCTTGGGTGTGTGTCAGATCTATCTCTGGAGTATCATTTTCCATTGATTTATTTGATTTGCATGTCAAATATCAAATTTTTAAAATTATTATCGTTCTTTAAAGTTCTTGATACCTGGTAGACTAGACTAACTGGAAAAAAAGATAGTATCTTATTTTTGCTTTATTTTGCACATCCCAAACTGTCATTATGGTTGATTTTTTTTTTCATGTTTCTTGCCCATTCAAGTTTTCTTTTTAAAGGATTTTCAATTCATGTCCTTTACTCATTTGCCTACTATATATATATTGAAGAATTCCTTCTTCCATGTATTTCAGCTTTATTTATTGTGCCTTTCATAAGAATTAAGTCTTTAATTGAGATGCTCTTAAAGTTCTGATCTTTCCCTCTGTCTCTCTGACTTACAATTTTAATATTGCGTTAAGAAGTTTCTTTCCCCATTCTCTAAAATTGTACAACTCTTCTCCAGTATTTTCTTCACTGTTTTTAATGTTTAGGTCATTAATCCACCCAAAAGGGAGAGAGAGATAAAGTGTAAAGGGATGAGAGATTTGTCTGTCAACGCAGAGGGGATAGCAAGATGGGATACCTACAAGATAAAGAAATGAGCCCCTCCCATCACACGGGGAGAGGGTGAGTCAGATAGAAGAGAGAAAGCCCTTCTGAATCTCCAGCTGACATCTCCAGTTGACTGTGGATTGACATAAACTACTCACAACTGAGTGACGATCTCCTGATACCGTCTTCTGGACTCCTTCTGTGTGCATGAGGGGTTAACGGTAAGACCCATTGGTCTCTACTGTTCTTCCCTTCCATAATGAGGGAGGCACAGGAGACTTAAGTAACTTGCTGGGCTCAGAGAATGATGGTGGAAGATATGAAACTAAAACCTACCTTCCTCATAGCAACACTATTTACAATATCCAAGACAGAGAAGCAACCTAAATGTCAATTGACAGATAAATGGATAAAGAAGATGTGGCATACACACACACACACACACACACACATAGAAACACAACGGAATACTACTCAACCATTAAAAAAAGAATAAAATAATGCCATTTGCAGCAACATGGATGGATCTGGAGATGGTCATACTAAATGAAGTAAGCCAGAAAGAGAAAGAAAAATACCGTATGATATCACTTACATGTAGAATCTAAAAAAATGAGACAAATGTACTGATCTGAAGCAGAAGCAGACTCACAGACATAGAAAACAAACTGGTGGTTACCAGAGGTGGAAGGGAGGGGAGGAGGGATAAATTGGGAGTTCAGGATTTGCAAATACTAACTATTATATATAAAATAAATAAACAGCAAGGTTCTACTGAATAGTACAAGGAATTATATTGAATGCTTTGCAATAGCCCATAATGAAAAAGAATATGAAAATGAATATATAAGTATGTATAACTGAGTCACCGTGCTGTACACCAGAAATTAACACAATACTGTAAACTGACCATACTTCAAAAAAAAGTTTAAAGTACAAAATAAATAAAACTTACCTTCCAATAGTCCTTTGACCCAAGCCATTCTGCCTTTTCAACAACTTTTTTTCTAACATGAGTTACTTTTCCAGTAACTTCCTCACTGCAGATTTAACACCTGAAAAGAAATATAGAAACACATAGCTTAAAATTAGGGGATTTCTTGAACAGTTTGGTAAGGTAAAGGCTTGATCAGAACTGTACTTGAGGAAGATTACCCTGTTATTTGTAGGACAAATGTGATAAAGGAATTACTGAAGTGGTAAAACACACTTCATCTGGGAATGGCCCAGGGAGGCAGCACAAATTAAACTGTGATGTTATAACCGAGCAAGGGCTGTTGTATCTGCAGCAAATAAAGCCAAACTCTGGCAGCAAGTGTTTGCAGCAAAGTAAGGGTTTACTGCAGGGCACCAAGCAAGGGAGTGGGAGACAAGGCTCAGATCCACTCCAACTTGGTTTTTCGGTGAGGGGCTTTTTTGTTTGTTTTTTTAAGGGGAAGAACAAAAATGTTGGGGTTAATCATTACCTTGTGATATTTCTTAATCATACTTTCAGGGTATACTGCAGGTCAGCAACTGCACTGGCTAATGACTTGATCCTTGTGCGACTGAATGGTAGGCAACATTCTTGGTTTTACAGTCCGTTTCCTGTAAGTACCAACTCATTTCACCTACCCAAAATCTCTGAGGTAGGAACCAATATATCTCCACATCACAGAGAAATTAAGGCACAGATGGGTTAGGTAACTAAGCTTACAGAAGAAGTTAGTGGCAGAGCCAGGACTTAAGTCCAGATCATCAGTTCCACAGCCCCTGCTCATAACTGCTGTGTCATATGGTTTATTACATCTTTACTAATGAGGAGGAAGAGCATTATTTCTGTTGACCTGAAACAAAAGACTGCCAGATATTTCTCCAGGAAAAATGGTTATTCCAGGATCAGCAAAGAAATTGCAATTCTGGATCTGCAACCATGGTGAGTCACATGCAAGTCCCTCTGCCCCGCCTACACCCCCCCACCCCAATTCCCCACCCCCTCCACCCCCCATCTGCCAAGAGAACACTCTTAAGGAGAAGAAAAGTAAGTTAGGAGGGCTAAAGTAAACAAAAAGTACATGGGTTCCCTTTGACTGAGTCTTTGCCAAGAAAGAAGGCAAGTCTTCTCCCTATTGGCCTCTGCTACCCTCACAGGGTGTGGGAGTTCCCCCTTCCAGTCTCCCAAGTCTATTTAATTGAGGTTTCTTATTAATTTTTCACATTTCCCACGGAGCATAGCAAAGCTAAAGGAAGACTCACAGTTGTTAGAGGTGTGAATGAAAATACTGCAACCATATCAGTAAACAAAGAATGCTGAAACCAAGTCAGCAGCAGCTGCCGCCACCCCCCAGTGAGGACAGGCCTGCAGCCCAGCCTCTGCAGCTACTCACAATGGTGCACTCCGAGCAGACTCAGAATAATAAAGGACAAACTAATGGCCCTAGATAGCTAGATGCTTGTCAAAGGAATAAATTCAATGAGCCCAAATGTTTGCTTCCTCCCATACATAGAAAAGCACTAAATTCTTTAACTTGAGATGCCTGGTTTTCTCTAGATAATAAGTAATCTTTCTCACAGAGAAAAAAAAATGTGACAATGAATATATACATGTTCATGTACAACTGAAAAATTGTGCTCTACACTGGAATTTGACACATTGTAAAATCATTATAAATCAATAAAAAAAAGTAAAAAAAAAATCTTTTATTGTTCCAACTACCTGGTCTTTGTTGTAAAGCTCCTATATATCCCAGCTCCTCCCCTACCTCTTCGGAGCAGTCCCTCAGAGCGATCTGAGGGGCTGTCATCCCAGCTTGAGTCCTCCGGCCAAATAAAACATAACTCAACTTTTAGGCTGCGCATTTATTTCAGTCCACAGAGGCATAAGGCATCACCTATTACACCACCATTATCTTAATGCCCGGAAAGTGACACTCAGAGAGGGGGCTCCTGTGCAAGGTGATGACCAGTCCACCAGGCGAGAGCCCAAGACATTTCATTTTCCAGTTTGTCCCACAGACTCCTCTCCCTCCCTTAATTACGCGAGAGAAGGGAGGAGCGTTTGCCCCGGCCCCGCCCCCGGCCTTACCTTCCTCCAGCTCCCAGCGCGGGCCTGCCTGGCACTACCCAGGAAGTGCTGCAGCGATGGGGAAAGCAGCAGGAGATGCGATGTACTTCCAGAGGGCCAGTCTGTTCTGGGTCACCGTCATCACCGTTTCCCTTGTCTATTACACGGTAAGGGCAGTGCCCCAGGTCTACAGCCAGCCGAGGGGATGGAGCGCTCCTTTCAGCCGCAAGGTCCACACCTGCAGGCGAGGAGAGGTCGCGCAGGCGTAGTCGTGGCTCCCAGGCCTCTGGAGCCCGGGAACTAGACCGGGAAGGAGACGCAGGCGCACTCGTCTGGCCATGCCTTTGCGGGTGTGGAGATCCTGAGAAACCGGCTACCCACGCTTTCCCTGTGTGGAAGCAGGAACAGCTCCCCACCCCAGGACTAGGTGTCTACATCTTTCAAAATGGTGGCTGCGAAGTCGGAGACAGGCCGGGCTGCTACCTCTTACTTTCGTGCAGCCAGATCGTTGCCCTCGCTGGTCACGGTCCTGGCGCTGGGATATTTCGGGGTAAGGTGTAGTGCTAAGCGGCGCGTGTTTGGGCCACCAGGTCCCCATAGCGCGAGGGGCGCGGCGGGAACCTTGCGCATGCGCGCCGGGCGGTTGCCTAGGTTACTGGTGTAAGCGGACGTTTGGTGGGCTCATAAGGTTTCTGTCTGAGAATGTTCCTGCCTTTGTGCCCCAACAGTTACTAGGACTTAGCAGCTGAGCCTGAGTAGAGCTCGCGGAGAGGGTGTCCAATTTGACAGATTGTCCTAGGCCTGGCAAGTCAGGATAGGGCTTCGCAAGCAGAATATTTGAGGCAGTTGGAATTGCTTGGAAAGTGGGGATAAACCTAAGGGATGGGTAGGATTTAAGTGGTAAGAAGGAATAGAGAGCTTATACATGTTATGGCATAGATATGGAATCCAGAAGCCAGAGAATCTCTACAATAGATTGTTTATTGTTTCTGCCAACCATCGCTGTAATTTTGAAGGAAAGCAAAGCTATTTGGATATTACCCAGGAGATTCTGGAGACAGGGGATTAGAAACGTGTTTGTCGTGTCCACAGTGTTGTCTGCTGTCAAATCTGACCAACTTTGTCCTCATTTCCCCATATTTAAACCGGTGGTGTTGAACTGAACATGTTCAAAGGTGCATCTCTGTTCTATAATTCTTTGTCTCTGACTAGTCAGAATATAGATGTAGGAAAACTTAGGGGCCTTCAGTTTGGGATATTGTGGACCTGGCAGATGCTGCCCCTTCTATTCCCCTTTGTTTTGGAGGATGCAGTGATATTTTATGCTTTGTTTAAATTTTAGATGTGTAACAACATTAGTGGGAAAGGTAGTACTGCCCTTGGCTGAGTTGTGAATGGGACAATAAATGGACACATTGGCACTTGATTCTCTGCAAAGCTTAAGCTGGCAGAGGTTACAACACAGAGACTGAGGGAAAGTTGATAAGATTACAAAAACCTTATAGAATTAAGTAGGTCCTCTTGGCACTTCACAAACCTCATCTCACTTGTTTTCCCACTGTGCAGTGGATCATTCCCAGTTTTAGAGGTCAAAAACAAGAAAGAAGAGAAAGGGATTCTAAATTACATAGGGGTTTGGCTCAAGCCATAGTTTCTGCAGGAAAGAAGCTAGCCAGGGCACATAAACCCTCAAAATGTATTAATAACTCGCATAAAATAATGTTTGGGGTGGAATTCACTAAGCACAGCAAGTCAGCCAACCTGGTCACTAAGTCTGATAACCACATAGTTTTCCCAGCATAAAGCTCCCACTAGAACAGCCTGTTTTCTTTGGTCTGTTTCACTTGTTCTTGTAGAATCAGAATGATTTCATAGCCTCTTCTCAAACATAGACATGGGCTGATTTAAATGACCTAACAGGCCTTCTGTGTTTGTGGTTCTCTTTCAGGGTGCTGTCTTCTGGCCTGAGAGCATTCCTTACCAGAGCCTGGGGCCCCTGGGTTCCTTCACTCAGTACTTGGTGGACCATCATCACACGCTGCTGCACAAAGGGTAAGGAGAAGTGGGATATGGACCCTGCAGCCCCAGTCTCACTGCAGACCAGGAAGGCCTGCGGTTGCCTTCTCAGAGTGGTGCTGGGTCACAGGAAATCGCCTTTCTCTTGAAGGTTTCTGTATTAGATTTCATCAGTAGATAACCATCACCCTAAACCAGGCTGACTCTTGTTTCAGGTATTGGCTTGCCTGGCTGATTCACTTGGGAGAGTCCTTGTATGCCATTGTGTTGTGCAAGTAAGTGTTTTTAATACATCTTTGTCGCTTTTCTCTTGGTATCTAAGTTGAGCCACATTTAAACAATCCATGCGCTTGTAGGCTGAGAACACTGTCAGGGTAGAGGTAAATCCCCACACCTAATGCGTAGCCTCGCTCAGTACTCAGAGGGAATAATCAGTAAATCATTAATGAGTGGATTCATCTCATTGTGTTAACCAGTCATTTTTTTTTTAGTCATTTCATTTAGATGATTTTTCTTCTTTTCAAAATTCTCTGTTAGTCCCAACTAGAAGAAAAGGTTAGGAGGCGGCCTTATAGTTTGAAGAAAGAGCCATTATTAACCTACTTTCACAACCAAGTCACCTGAGGAGCTTTTTCAACGTTGACACGTCTGGTTTCCAGAACCAGAGATCCTAATCTGGTGGGCTTTGCTTCAGACATAGGAATATGTTATTTTTTCAAGTTCTACAGATAATTCTGGGATGTAAGGCGAGCTAAAAGCCTCTCAACTAGACCCTACTCAGCAGATTCCAGTGTAGGGTAATACAATGCGAGAGGACTGAAAAACTTCTCTTTACATTTATACTTTTTGTCAGCATGCACAGGAAGTATGGGGTAAAGAAAGAGATGGTTATAGTAATGCCAGATTGCTTTGCAGTTGATTTTTTTTTTTTCTGGTCAAGATGAATTATCACCTCTGCTTTTGTTGTATTACTTCTAAAAGTGGAAAAAAAACTACTTAAATATGCTTTAATAATAAAAGTAATTAATATTTATTGGGTGCACACTATGCCAGACAACTGCTAACTGATTTAAATAGACTATGTTGCTCTGTCTTCTGGTTTATTAAACAAGCTGGACTTTCTAGAAGAAAATCAGAAGGCAAATTTATTCTTTATCACTCCTCTCCAAGTAATCTCACCCTGTGGATTACTGCCTCCCACCCCAGCCCTGGATGAAATCTGAAGCAGTTCCATAGATTTTCCAGTCACTATCTGATGTTATCCAGTCAAGCCCAGCCTGTTTTTTTAAAAAACATGAACATTTATCTAATTCAGAATGTCCGTTTTCCGTCGGCCGGGGCTCAGCAGCCTGCTGTGGGGAAGAGAATGTCGCAGATGTCTTCGCTCTCATTCCAACTTTTTTTCCTGTTCACTAGTGGCAGCTGCTTGTGGCCTTGGGGTGGTGGGAGTCGTTCGAGGAAGCAGGGCACGGTGTGCCGTGTGATCAGGCAGCTGGGTGCTGTGGAAGCTGCATACCCAGTGTTGACTTTTCTCTCCAAAGGGGGGGGCCCTGGTGGATTTCTGAGAAACCACTCATCACTAAGGAGTCTCCCTCTGCAGGTCTCTTGATGGCTCCTTCAGACGCCTCCATCAGCATGCTGCTTGCTGTCTCCTCTTAGGATCTATGATGGTTGTGGGGGTGGGGGGTCCCCTTTTATGGAGCTCTCTTCTACTCTTCAGTTAGGCCTCTGGGGTGGGGTCCTTTTTAAGCCCACCCAAGCCAACAGCCTTTCACAAGACCTTGTATGGCTCATGATAACCTCTTCCTTATCCCTCCAAGGGGATAGATCTGCAACTGCATGCAGTTCCCAGTCCAGCCACGTATCTCATCAGGCAAGCTCTACCAGCTTTGAATCAGATATTAACCCTCACCCAAATTCCAGGGACTCTTGTCAAGCTCTGCAAGTGGTTCCCTTGAAGCTGTCCTTTGGGCCTGACTTGTGACAGGGAAGACAGGAGCACTAGTACCTCTTTCTCACGGCCTCTTCAGCCTCTCAGCGAGAGCTTAGCTTGGAGGTGTGTGGTCCAGCCCTTCCACTTACAGGGTTGGGAGTACTTCACGCCTATTTTGTTATTGGCATTTGGAGCCTCTAAAGAAAACAAAGGCTCAAATTGAACATCCTGCTATCCATTTCTTTGAAGGGCAGAGGGAGAATAGGCACAGAGAAGTTTGGTCACTATTGTGTTCTTGAAAGCATTTCTTTACAGTCTAACAGGTTGCAATGTATCATTGGTGACTGTAAATCAGAATGAATATTCCTTTTAACTTATGAATGAATGAATACATTTTCGTGAACGAATCAGTACTTGAAGACACGTAGAACATTCATTGCTTCCCCAAATCTCACTATCCAGCAATGAAAAGGAATTTGATGAATTCCGCTTAACCAGAGACAAGACTGGACTATATGTCAACTTTATAGCCATCATATATATACACATATACATATAGATATAAACACTTCCAAAACTTTTTTCTATTGTCATATATGCCTGTTTCTCCATGGCTATACCTATAAATTCACCCCATTCATTTTATTAGTGCATAGTATTCTATTACATGGCTGTATCTTAATACATTTAACATCCTCCTTCTGACGGACTTTTAAGTCTTCAGGGTTTTTTTTATAAGTAATACTGCATGAACGTAAATTTCTCATGCATCCTGGCCGACTGATACATATTTCTTTTTTTTATTGTTTAGTGGTAGAATGTATGAATATAGTCGGTTTTTGTCTATTGCCCTCATATCCAGTGACCTTGATAAATTCACTTTTTAGTTCCAACAGTTCATCTAATAGTTTACCATTAATAATTTAAAAGATTCTTTTTCATTTTCTAGGTACACAGTTGTCTCTAGAAATAGAGTTTTACTTCCTCCTTTCAATTCGGTATACCTTTTATTTATGTTTCTTCTCTTATTGCACTGGCTAGTACCGCTACTACAGTGTCCACTGAAGTGTTGACTGGCCTTGTTCCTGATCAAAGGGAAAGCTTTCAGCATTCTGCATCACATTTTTTCTAGAGCTGTAGAGACCTTCTCTACCAGAGTAAGGGAGTTCCATTCTCTTAATAAGCTGACTGAGAACTTACGTTAAGAATGGATGTTAAAATTTATCAAATGCTTCTGCATTTATTGAGATGATCGTACCATTTTTCTCCTTTATCCTGTCATTGTAGAAAGTTGGATCGTTTTTACATAAATTATTTTTAAATTTTGTTTTAAATTAAAAATCATCCACGTGAGACTTATTTATATACAGGTGAAACTGTAGCAAGCCATTCACTTCAATTTGACCATTTCCTTCGGAGCTTGGTTCTAAGCAGTTTAGCGTGAATTGGTTGCTCAGACAGGTATTTATTGTCACCGTGTGCCAGGCCCTTTACTAACCACTTTGTGCAACTTATCTCAAAAGTCATCTTGAAACTTGGTGACATAAATACTATCCTTCCTGGAAACAGAATCTGAGAGGGAGTGAGTGGCCTGCCCAAGGTCACAGCTGGTAGTTGGCCAGTCTTTCAACACACTTGCTCTGAAGCCCTCCCAGTGCTTTCTAACCCTATCTGCTCATCAGAATCACATGAGAAACAGTTTCATAATGCCATGCCCTAGGCAGTTAGCAGACTGCTTCTCACGGAAGAGTGTACCATCCTAAATGCACAAGAAAAATGAAAATCAATGCACGAACCATTCAAGTTAAGAAACTGGAGGAAAAGGGCAAAATAAACCCAATGAAAGTAGACAGGAGGAATACATATTTTAAAAAAACTAGAAGACAATAACTCCTATGAAACCATAACATTAAAATTCTGGTGGATACATTTTTCCTTTTTTAGGTCTAAAGGCATCACGAACAGCTGGACTCAACTACTCTGGTTCCTACAGACGTTCCTCTTTGGGATAGCATCTCTCAGCTACTTGATTGCTTATAGACCAAGACACCAAAAGCAAACTTAAAGAAGATATTGTCGGCTGAAATAAATGAGAGTTGAGAGTTATATTTCATTTGGCAGGAGGACTCGAGCTGGGATGACAGCCTCTCAGATGGCTCTGAGGGACTGCTCCGAAGAGGCAGGGGAGGAGCTAGGATATACAGGAGCTTTACAACAAAGACCAGGTAGTTGGAACAATAAATGATTACTTATTAGCTAAAGAAAACCAGGCATCTCAAATTAAAGAATTTAGTGCTTTTCTACGTATGGGAGGAAACAAACATTGGGCTCATTGAATTCATTCCTTTGCCAAGCATCTATCTATCTAGGGCCATTATTTTGTCCTTTTATCATTCTGAGTCTGCTCGAGTGCACCATATTGAGTGGCTGCAGAGGCTGGGCTGCAGGCTTGTCTTCCCTGGGGGGTGGTGGATGACTTGCTGGTTTCAGCATTCTTTGTTCACTGATAACGGTTTGCAATATTTTTCAGTCACAGTACCCCCTGAAACTAATACAATGTTGTAAATCAACTGTGCTTCAGTTAAAAAGTAAATACATAGCATATAAAGTTTCTAGGGAAAAAGAAAAAGATACTCAAAAGCTTTCTCTACACGTTGACATTCATCCTCACCTTTTTTGGGTGGTGCTGTGTTTACTTGATCTTTCCACTTTCTAGAAAGTTAAGACCCTCTAGTGATTCATTATTCTTTCATCTGCTCTGGTTAAGCCTGAGCAGATAAGGACAAGGTTTGAGTTTTCCAGTTCTGCAGACTAACTTACTTGGCAGGGGCTTTCCAGCTACCTCCTGAGGTCCCTGGCTTTGTTGGTTTTCTCCCTGTCACCTGGTTTAAACCACATACAAAGTTTACTATTAGGACACCTTTGCTCTCACCTTCTGAGTAAGACCCCTTACCCTCACTACCGCCATCCTATTAGCTCTTCCTTCCCAAAATGTGTATCCACCCACCTGGACCAAGATAAAGTGACACTTTCATAACACGTCGATTCCACCCACATCCGTTAGACACCTGTGGAGCAGGGTCTTCCCCTCTCAGGCTTCCATCTCTCCCACTACAGAGAAAGATAAGAAAGACGAGCATGGGGCAGGCTGAGCAGGGACACAGGCACAGAGGATGCACTGGGAACCAAGAGGCGAGGACTGGGGAGTGCCTTCTCTGCTTCTCAGCCAGGAGTGACCCTTCCCTCCACTTGGCCCCTCCGACCCAGGGGTCTGTAGTGTGAACAGGCTGACGGCCACCTTCAAGCCAGGACCACATCATAGACAGCTTCCTTTTTCCTCTAGCCCCTGCCCACTGCCTCGCACACAGGTGTTCTATCAGTGTTTACTGAACGAAGGAGGGAAATTCTGATTTCACTGCGCTTGTTCAACATCATTCCAATTTTTATGTGAAAACTGCAGAACTCATTCCGTGCACCCTTGTCTCAGAGAAAAGCGCAGGCCCGCCCTTGACTGCCACTACCATCTTTCTGTGGTCCCTGATGGGAAACCTGTATCTTTTTCACACTCTCCTATTCTTGGTCACTTTCTCCAGTCTCTGTAGATGCTCCTTCCAGCTCTGACTCGTTCAGCCATGCCTGTTCTAGAGATCCTAGCCCATGAGTTCTCCAGCTGGTTACTACATCTCCCACTCACCTGGTTGTCACTCCTTACTACTGACTGGTTGAGGCAGAAGGGTCCCTGACCATCACCTCTAGGAGCCTTTAGGGCTCCTGTCCTGGAGGACCAGCTGCTTGTTCACTAGGGACTAGCGCTTATTTCCCCCCAGTGATACAGGAGGTCAGGTGATTTGTTTTAGGTGAATATGTGCGCAAAAGCACAACCATGAAAGATAATGGACTACTGATTGTTTTTGGTGGAGATCAACTTCTACAAATAAATCTCACTCTTTCCCTCTGTTTCTCTTGTGACAAAGGGGTTATTAATGGTGACAAGGATAATAGGGCAGATTACTGAACGGAATGGATTAACTTGAATAAAATGCTATGAACTGTGTCCCCAATCAAATGCTTTTTTTTTTTTTTGGTGTGTCAGTTTTGATATATTGTCACACATATGATTCTACTCTTTCTCGAATAGACTATTATGGAACTCTTTGTACAGGGGTTATCTACCAGGGTTTTTTTTTTTTCCACTGGTAAAAAAATGCCGAATGCCCTATCTTTGGGACATTCACTCCTCATTATGTTTATAGAGCTGCCCACAACTTAACTCCTCCGCATGCACCAACCGAGTTGTGGGTGGATACGAGGGTCTCCTTTCATTGTAGGACTGGCCTCCTTTTATTTCTATTACATTTTATTCAGCCTTTGATACAGCCTCTGCAGCAAGTGAAGGAGTCCTCTGACTTTTTTTAAATGCCAAAAGTAATAAAATCCTGTAATCTTATTTGGGGTATTATCATGGCTTAAGAGCAAAAAAGGGTCTCAGCAAATGATGCGGGTCATTCATTTTCTAGATCCATGAGCTGCAGGTGGTGAAGTAACACACAGAGGCCAGACTAACTGGATCTCCCCTCCCCCACAGCCCAGGAACTAGGAGTCAGCCTAGGAAGCAAACATAGAGACATCTTGGCCTTGCTTTGCAGTCATAGTGGGTGACGTGGGCGAAACCTCTTTATGGTGTGTTTGGATGAGAAAAGGCTAGAGGCATCTTGTTGTTATAGTTTGGAAGAACAAAAAAGAAAGGGCCAACTGGGGAGTGGGGGTAGGCGGGGAACAAAACGAATGACCTCACAACTCAGATTTATTTATCAACAAGCCAGATTTATAAACTAAAACTATTTCCTACATTCAACACGGTTATGACTCCATGCGCTTCAAATCCAAACATGTTTTCTAAGCCATGATTTTAAAACAAGTCTTTGAGTTTAAGAGGTTATATTCCAGATGTGTAAAGAGGTTCTTTAGCAAAAACAGCTTGCCATCTGGAAGCTATGTGTTTACATGCAAGGTCTGAAAACACAAAAGAGACACTGGAGAACCTGCCTTTGAGGTTAGAGCACAGAATGCAATCACGTTGCCTGGGGTCCTTGCTGGAACCTTGTTAACTAAAGCTCCTACTTGAGCAACTTCAGATGAAATATCATTTTCCCCTCCCTCTCTTATTAGCATAGACAAAAAAAAAAAAAACTAGGGCAGCTGAGTAACATATTTGTAAGTCTGAGACTTGTCTCTGCAATGCTCCCTGTCCACATCAGATTGGAAATTACAGTTCCCTTTTTCTCAGGGTTGGACAATGAGAGTGTGTGATTATTATTTCATATATCTCTTTATGAAGATCTACAGTCTGATTCCACAGTGGACACTTGAAAATCGTATCCAAAATAGCGTTCTTGCTGTCTACGGCCATACCACCCTGTCGTGCCTGATCTCGTCTGATCTCGGAAGCTAAGCCAGGTCGGGCCTCGTTAGTACTTGGATGGGAGGCCAAAATACTGTTCTTGCAATTTCTATCAACAAACATTTTAATATGGCTCTCAACTTTCTCAGTAGGATTGCGTATCCCATTTGCCTCATTTCTGTCTGTACTAAGTCATAAAGATGAATTAGAGGAAATGCCTCTGACATACTCATGCTCTTCAGGGAAATATCCATGAAAGAACTTTTACTTTTTCCTTGTCCCAACATTGAACTGGATGCTCTTGGTAAGTAAAAATTAACTCAGTAAAAACTGTCACTAAAATTGAAACCTTGACACTGCTGTAAATGAAAGAAAGGAGTGGCATCTATGTATAAAGTAGGGAAGTGTTCCCCAAACCTTGGGCCAGTAGAGACCACCCTCACAACTTCAGTCCTGTCTACACTACACCTGAACTCACTTTCTGAAAAATCTTCCTAAGCAAGAATAACTATGAAATGCCAGGCTTAGTTGGTTTGCTGATTATGTTTTCCTCTGATACGTATGAGAATAATGTCATCTGCACCATATTCAGGTGGGGACTGTATTTTCATTTATACGTGGAATCCAAAAAAATGAAACAAAATGAACAAATATAACACAGAAATAGACCCACAGACACAGAGAACAAACTAGGGGTTACCAGAGGGGAGAGGGTTGGGGGGAGGGGCAAAATGGGTAAAGAGGATTAAGCACAAACTTCTAGGTATACAATAAGTGTGACTAGGATGCACAGCCCAGGAAATATAATCAATATTTCATAATAACTTTGTATGGAATATAACCTCTAAAAATATTAAATGACTATGTTGTACATTTGAAGCTAATAAAATATTGTAAGTCAACCATCCTTTAAAAAAACAGAACCAAATTTTGAAGAACGTTCCACGTTCCAGCCCTCTAGAGGCCCCTAATATCTCAGTGAACTGGAATTACTCACCCTGACACAACCTCAAAAAACCCCAAGTTGAATTAATGTACCTTACCTTTCCTGCTGCTAAGAGATGAAATCACCTCAAAAAGGTAAGAGCTCTGATACAGCAAGTACGCTGTTTTCCGAGGGAAAGGTAGTAACTTAGCAACCTTCGGAGAGAATTGATGAATAACAAGCCGCATGACAATCTCGTACTGTTATGGCTGGTGCCACCGAAGAGGGAAAGGCAGCAGGGTGTAGTTCAAGAGCACCCGGGCCTTTGAGGGACAGCTCTGTTCGACTTGTTACCCACCACTTGCTAGCTGTATTAGCTTGGGTAAATCTCATGTCTTGGAGTTCCACCATCTACTCCCTTCTTGTTTTGTTTATTTCCTTTTATCCCCATTCCTGTGCTGCCCCTAGTTTAAGGCAACAATTCCAATGTATTTGCTGTACATGTATTCCTGTAAAATGTACACTGTTGTTTTGTGAGCATGTATTTCTGATTTACATGAATAGTTTTGTGATACACACACACACACACACACACACACACACACACACACTTCACTATCTTGGGAAGGACTTCCAGGACAGTGGGAGTTTTGTAACTTAATCTGATTTTCATTTAATTCTTCACAGTTTGCCAGCAAGAGCTGAGTTGTCCACATTCCCTGCTGCTCCCTTGGAGGGGGGAAAAAAATCCTCTCCCAGATAGTGTGAGCCAACTGGAACCTACAAGGTTTGTGAACAAGACAGGAAACAATAGAAAAAGAAAACCCAAGCTGGCCAACTAGGATAACTCATCTTGGATGCCTCCAAAAATCTATCTTAACTTTGCTCAATTCAGCCAGAATTGCACTT